CCCAAGCACAGCTTCGGCGATGGTTCTAAAAGGATATTATCGGAATAACGAAAAAAAATTTTTCCCTATTATGTACATCAGCTCTCGCATACTTTCNAAAAAAAAAACAGAGGAAAGAAGAAAAAAAAACAAGAAGAAAGAAAACATCGCCTCATAACACGGCGGTTAGCTTTTTGTGCGTGGGTCCTAGAACGAATAATAGCAATCTGTTTCGTCTCGACACTCGTCTAACGTGACACCGATCAAGGGGCGGAGGGCGACCGTGGATATCTCTCCGGCCCCTTATTGTGCCCTATCCAGCCGTTTTCCGACCTCATTCCTGTACGAATGGTACCAGAGGGGGCTTCGAATTCAAACCATGCGCAAATCTCCGAACCACTTTTTTGTGAACAGTGCCTTTAAGTCATTGCTTTTTCGTTCAACTTTTTTGTAGTGGCCATACGTCTCGGGTAAATCAGTAGGTCATAAAGTCGCGTTTCATATAAAAGAAGTGTACTGAGTTTTCCAAGCCGTTGTTTGTAACAACTCTAGATAAGAAGAAAGCTTACTTTCTCCTTCCATTTTTCTGCGAAATTGATGTACTCGTGTGCTTAAAGGCACACTTCAAGACTATTTTTGGGGTACCCGGTTTTCGGCGGATAATGAAAGCGCAAAAATAATAGAAAAGCGCAAAAGAACGGTGCAAAAAAAGAAGTACAGGGGTCCAAACAAATAGTAGAATGGGGCTATCTCTTTTACTGGATCTTCTTTTATCATCTCTCCCCGGACCTCCCTTTATTTTCTCTACTGATCCACTCGACAATAGCAGCGAATATATCCTCATGGAGTATAAAACTAGATAAGGGCCGCAGCAGCAAAAACAATGAAATGGAATAATAAAATTAGAGAGAATCGGGGAACCCGAGTGATCCGGTAACGGGGTTCCCACTATGGCCTAGCTGTTGAGTTTTTGGATGATTTGTGCCATCCTCCAGTTAATCGTCGGAAGAGTAGGTCGCTTAGTAAGGTCGCTTAGTAATACAAAGTCGCATACTGTTGGAGTCATTAGACCGCTCCTTTCGTGTTGCTTTTCTCTAGGACTTATTACATGTTGTTCCTGCCAAATGGTCCAGAAGCGGTCTGATGTCTGGCAAAAAGTGTTTCGACGAATTGATGTTAGAATGTTCGAACGATAAGATCTTTGTTGAAATATTTACCGTGTTAACAAGTCATAGACACAAGACTAGTCTCTGTTATTCTTTTTGCCGCCGCAGTGAGACACACTGTATAGCTCGTCCGAACGTCCCACTCTTCTTCATTTTTCTGGTTTCATTCTCGTAGAGCCCCCTTTTCAACGGCTTTTCGAAGCTATTTTCACTTTGGAAACGTCGACACAAGCAATTTCTTCACCTTCATCGCACTATTTTCGTTCTTGTCTTCCATTTTTATTCATAATCTGGATTACCCAAAACTATCGTGAACTGAGCCTTTAAGGTGCCTTATGATTTAAACGAATTCTTTAAATGCGAATTTTCAGGTTTCTTTTCTGCCACCCAATCAACGGCAACTTACAATGTGTGGCCAAGCTTCGGCTAGGCGCGGTATGCACAGGACTTGAGAACACCCCCATCTGTTATGAAGGACGATGCGTCAGAGGCCGATGCATCGCAAAGAGTGTTGATCAAGAAGCGAACTCTGTGACGGAGTCAATTATGTAAATGTTAAACTTTTAGTCCGCAACGCAATGAAGCCTGGATACAGGGAAACCCACAGAAATGAGGAAAGATTGAATGCTCCCATGAGAGTAGTTCCACTACTCTGAACATATTAGCAGTGGGTGGAGACATTAGTGCCAGTGAGCGTAGGGGAGGAGAGGAAAATAGGGAGTACGTAAAACAGTGTCTGGAATTCTGTATGGCATGGATTAGCTGGGGTAACGGAACTTTTCCCAAATTCCCACGACCTGCGGCAGTTCCGCGGTGACTCTCCGTATCTTTCCAGGGAATTCAAATCTTTCCCTTCATAGCGCGCGATCGCGCGCGACACGCCGTTCGGGAAAAAGACTCCAGACCCGGATTAGCTTCCCGTTCTCCGATCAGCAGCATGAGCTTCCCGTTCTCCTATCTTCGTTTCTATCAGGGCTGAGAAGCGTTAAGACACGATTCATTTAAGAATGGTTACTGAGATATCCTCTTCGGATAAATCTGTGGCCCGCCCGCATAACATATGTGGCCCTGCCAGATCGAGGAGTGGATGAGTTTGGGAGTTATAAGGGATCAGGTATTGTATCGGCCGTATGCCACACCCGCAGATGGACGAGTTTTAAATTAATGGCGATGTAGATTCTGCACCATCCACACACTCATGTTGGAAATCAAAGCAACTCTTAGGTCCCATTGCGACAGTGAAAGGCATCTTTCATAGTCCACGACCAGCACGACCAGTCGCGCGACCGGTCGCCGGTCGCTAGCGACTGGTCGTGGACTATGAAAGAGGCCAAAGGCAGATCTGGATATTTTTGACCTAATGTAATGAGCCCTTTACTGGAACAACTGAAATCTCGTCCAAATGCGCTTTTGATGTTTCTGTCATGATAATCTTGTACAACCCCCTTCATCATATTGCTTTAATAAGTGCTTTCTTTGCCACCGATGCACTACTCTCCACAAATACCAGTTTTTAATTCAAAAAGAGCAACCTCGAATTCGTTGTAAACTGTGCCTTAAAATTGAACTGATACCCTAGCTCTTCTAGCGCCACGTCAATCATGACTCTGATCGACTTACGCCTAGCCCCGCAGCGTAGACATTCACCCCATTGCAGCATAGCCTCAACCCCTCCTCTCTGAATACTGCGTACGGTATTCCCTACACTTTAAAACAGGCTCCCTGTATTCTGGCTTACACTTGCTCATCCGGGTACTTTATGCTCATTAATTTCGGCATTTCTCAGTTTTTAACCATTGAAGGTTCTATATCCTATAACTACTTGCAATGCCTTTGAAAATAGTCTAGTCTTCCAAGTAAATAGAAAAATAGGAAAATCACATTGTTTCAATCAATACATTCATCACAAAGGAATCATTGCGCAGTGAGAGTTAATCAAACCTACTCTTCAACAACATTGTGAGAATAAATTAAAGTCAATACAAAGTATAGTGTCTAGACAACCTCGCAGCACAACAAGTTAACACATTACCACGTATCTGTGTGCATTAAGTTCTGCTCCAAACGGTTCGTTGCAATTTCAACAGAATTGCGGTACTCAAACGTCACAAGCAGAATAATATATTAATATTCAATTACTTAATGCTGAACATTTTCTGGGAGACTTCTTCTTCCTGATGAGAAGCGCCGAAATGAAGACAAAACAACGAAAGCATTCAAACATGTGCCTACTTTAAGATTTCTCTATCATCCTGAACGGAACCTAACAAAAACTATCCGGCACTTAAAGATGTAAATGTATGCAATTAAAATCAACAGAGGGAAAACATAACCACTCTAATCAAAACTCTTAATATATAATGAAATCCAGTAAATTACTCTACATTGATCATACTCGTTTTCGTAAGCTGAACATGGCACCTTCAAGCGCTCGCTGTGCTCTGCTGGCAATCTAAAAAAAAAGATACACAGTACCCCCGTTCCAAAAATCCTCGAATAAATGTAGAGAAGAAAAAAGCTGTGCTCACGTAGTAAAACATAGCTAAGTATCCGAAAACACCACAGGCTATAATCAAATCAAACACGGCTGGTTTCACTCGCTCGGCCAAAAGGCGGTCGGAAGTTCCAGGCCATATTTGCACTTCATGCATAGAAACAGGTGATACAGTGACCTGAAATCATAGCCAAGGTTAATCAGCGACCCTCAAGCCATGGAAAAAGAATTTTATCCTACTTTTGCATAATTCCCAACAGCCACTGCCAAATTTGCCGCGCAAGCAACCGTAGCCGCTTCATCTGCAACTGGTCGTGGGCGCGATGCAAAAAGCCGCACTGCATGTGCTAGTCGTTGGCGATCGACAGCATCCCGCGACAAAACGGATGTATCAGCAGATACACGAGGATCAGTCGAGTAACCACCCTCAGGTAGCGAAAGCATATGCCCAAGCACAGCTTCGGCGATGGTTCTAAAAGGATATTTTCGGAATAACGAAAAACTTTTTTCCCTATTATGTACATCAGCTCTCGCATACTTTCCATTCAACCAGCCTAGATCCTTCCTTTTTGAAGTATGTTGGAAACAGTGGGAAAGCTCATCAGAAAAATGCATCCAAATTGGCTTTTCTGACCAGCCCTAACCTTCTAATCTTTTGACGACATCGTATTGGTTCTAGCTCTTAAGATGACCCTTTCGACAGCCTCGACCCAACTCTCACTATAGAATGAAAATCCACTTTCATCACCCTCCAACAATCCAACTCGCCGTTGCGATAGAGCTGCTGAATTTAAAGTAATAGTCAAAAAAATTTATAGTCATAGCGACCGCGGAGCAATCCGGCCCCGTTTGTTACTGTGTATAGGTATGGGGCGGTTCTTGTATAGTTATTTTGCTTCTTGGCAAGCCGATAATTCAACTCTTGTCACCCTGTTTCACCGTAAATGCAAGGAAAAATCGTCTCGGATATACCAAATATGCACATAACCATTTACGAAGAAATGAATGAATGATGACTGACCGGATATTTTTCTCCAATGCGTCTAAGCTTATTCGACTTGTCGTATCCAACATCGACTTTCTGATAGAATTATCGTGGCTGGATATACGAGACAAAGTGACAGCAGGAAGACGTTTGATATTGAATCTGAAATAGAGGTTTCAAATTTGAAAACAGGTATTGAGAGCAGATGTCCTGTAACATAAAATGATAGCGAATGTGAAGTGTGCATATGGAACCATACGAATTACTTGGATTAGTTTTGTTCCATAAGAATCCCGTTCGCTAGGAACCGCTGTTCATGGCCAAGTGCGTATTCATGAGGACACATGAACCGCCGACACCGACATGCTTCAAGAAACAAGGAACACTTATTCTTCTGCCCGAAAACGGTGTGGAACGATCGACGCCTTTTCGTCTGCGCCCGTCCGATGACGTCGTTCTTGATCTTTCTTGTTTGCACCATCGAATCTTCGATACACCTTCATATGTAGATGTTTGTACATTACATAAAAGTACAGATCACAATTTCGGCCCCTCTCCTTTCAAGCAACCCTTTTGTGGTCCTAAAATTTTAGCAGCCCCTTCCGAGCGGTCCTAACCAATGCTGCCGTTTTGGGGGCTCCCACAAGTTCAGAAAATGGGACCCTCTATTTTACTGATTTTGGAGTTTACGTACCATGGGTAGTTTGCCGAAGCCTGACGTGGTGGTTGGGCAGAATCCCTGTAGCTATCTAAGCTTTCCCAGAGTGGATAAAACGCCTACTTGCTAGTCCCTTGCCCACTCTGCAATAGCCCGACATATTCTTGGGGTTACTTCCCTGTCTCCGAATGCAATTTTCTGGTTGAATCGATGTGCAGGATAACGAGCGCACCCGCAGACTCCCATACGATAGAAGCCTGAAGATGAAATACAGAAAGCTTACTTTTCGTGCTCCCATGCAGATGGTTGGTTCATGCTGATTTTCTTTGTGACTAGCTCGACACTTTGATTGGGTGCAGCCAGGCGAAGACGTCTGAGGAGCCGATCTGCAAAACGATCTTTCCAAACAGAACTGTTCTCTGGCATAGAATTCATAACAACACTCTATCTTTTATTACTATGTGAAACCCTCATCCTCGATGCAATACATGTGCATCTTTGAATAGAACCACCTCGACACTATTTCTTAGGCAGCCATTGAACGCATTTACACTACAACGTCTTTCTGTCGACGTCAAGGTCAGCGTCGGCCATCACTCCACTTACCAATATTCATGCTGCAGGTGGCTCAGCTAACGGATTAAAAGGGAAGATTTCGGTGAAAAGATTTTACTTTGCGATTGGAAGAGAGAAAGAGTTTGATTCATTTTTGAGAGAAGACCTAGCAAAAAAGAGAACTATTTCTTTGTGAAAAAAATGACAGATTGCATGGTTCGGACTAAAATGTAAGCCTGTCTAGCTGTCTGGAAGACGGACCGCTGTGTCGGTCTGGGCCAGTGACTACACTGCAATGCAATCTCATTCACTTGCTATCTACAGCTTTTTCATAAAAAATGGTCTGATCAGTAGTCGATCGATATCTGGTACTTGGTCTAATCACCAGTGACGGGTAAGGGACAGGAGCATCTCCCTCGATTCGATTTACTGAAGACAGATCATACTTCTTCTGGCAATTGCTTCTCAGAGGTATTGGCAAAGTTCTTGTCACTTTAGCTAAATGCCAGCTTAATGAGTCTCCACTGAAGAGGCTAACTTTGACCCTAGCCGTTCGGGGGCCACATACGTGAGCGTACCGTTTTTCGACAACGATCGACGCCTGAAGCTGACGGAGAAATTGTGTCGACGAAAACACGAAGGTAGTATGAATGCAAACAGTCAGCTAATTAGGGAAACCATTAAAGTCTATGATTAGACCAAGATGACCTAATTTGTTTTTGCCTGCCACTGAAACACACAGAGCTGATTTCTGATGAAGATGCAGTCAGCATTGCAGTTCACCTAATTAATATTGCCCAATGCTCTTCATAATGGGACAAAAGAATGCGTTCGATAAAAATACTTGCCTGCAGCAGACCCATCAGCAGGCTGCTTTGAAGCATGCATCCATAATGGTCCCGGACCTCCAACTGCCTCAACACAGATTGCAAGCTCAAGTCGGTTATCATCTGAAGACTTTTACTTTACAAAAGCGATCAGCCAAAACCATCACAATGCAGGTAAACCACCTACCAGAATTATCGCTTTGAAAATCTTCGATAAATTGCCTTGCACCCTGATAATTGTATTTTCCTGCTGCTGTCCAAACGAATACCTGAACAGGTAGGTAAAAATATTCAATCAAAAATCACATGCTGGGAAAAAGAGAGGTAGCGGTTTTTTCGATCCTGACTGCAGATCAAAAGAAAAAAATCGAAGACTGACTAAATTGAAGGGAGGTCTCGTGGAAGGTTTCTCATAGAGTTTGCGAAAAATTGCCAACAACTCAAGCAGAGCTACTATACCACTGCCATTCGAATCAGCACCCACAGCAGCACCCTATAAAAGCATGAAAACTCGCCAAATCCAACAAGAAACTTTCCTAATAACAACTTACGGGAAACACAGCATGTGAGTCATAGTGAGCAACAAAAGCAATGGTAGGAGCAGACCGTTCGGTGCTGCTCAGGCGACCCTACAACAATGCCAATGAAAAAATCGTTTTCAAAATAGTGTAGAGCTCGATCAGACACATTGAAGCATACCAGATTTTGACGATCTAGAAGCCGTCATTTCAAAAGATCAACCTACGCAGCACAAAAATTATGTAGCCGCACACACGGAGAAGGTTCGTGGGCAGATTAATAGTTCATGATCAGGTATATAACAACGGCGACAATGAGGGCAAAAGTAGCGAACTGGCCCCCTTCCCCTCGCTCCACCCTACATGGCACCTAAGGATGTACGCCCTGAATGATCATACGCTGATATCAATCTGCTATCGACTAATCCTTCAATAAGAAAGAGCGAAGCAGGACAGAAAAACGCCTCGAACACAGGATTTCCCATGGTGTCGCAGGCCCACACAGTATTGCCCCTTCCATACTTCACATCCCCCAATTGGCGAAAAACTTTTAGAATCTATGCTAAAGTCGATGGGTACCCCGCAACAGGAAAGGCTTGAGGCGCTACAGCATGCCTTTTCTGCTGTGCTCTTTTTCGTATGTCAACATGCAGTCAGAACTCACTATGATATTGTTAGGCTTGTAAGTCAATGGGCTCGTCGATGGCGATCCAGTCGAGGTAAACTAAAACACAATACAAATCCTGCAATGAATATAAGGTTTACAAAATAAAGCAGTAAATTAATGTACCTGGAATGTATTTGCCGCTATCGAATTGATGAGTTGCTGAGTTGCCGAGATACTGACACCAGAGGCAGACTGCACGTCACTCAGAATAGCATTTGCCTCGGGAGATGAATGCGAAACGTACACAGCGAGATCTGTTCGAGCGGTTGCTAGTTTCTGCTCGAGCTCCATAAACAGCTAAACAAGCAAACTCACTTTCCAGTCGTAAACAAGCCGAAGCAGGATTTCAGCAAAAGAGCATCCGTTAGTAAAGTTAAGATGGAGACGAAATAAAGACCCAGAAATCCTACGCCTACGCAAAATTAAATAGAAGCGGAATACACTTCCTATGAGAGGGTGACAAAAATACTACTGACGTTAGTAGTTATAAAGAAAGGGTTCATCTGTGGGTAGGTACAGCAAATACTCGACATGAAATGTTGCAAATCAGCTGCCCTGCGCTAAGTAGTTGAAACTAAACAACAAAACAATTCTCCATTTTTCCCAGGTATTTGCGACTCAATGACGGCGTTCATACTTTGCGTTAGCGAACGGGAAGCGAAAGGTGATAAACGAAAGCCAACCTCAGAGTAAACCCATTTAACTCAATTTGATGACTAATGCTAGGGTTTAACATTCTTAAGGGGCTCTTGCATGATTGATCTGATTCTAATTTCTCGTGGATCGATTTTGAGCGCCGTTCCATTCAGTTTCACAAAAGAAAAGCTACTTAGACTGCCATGTTATAAACGAAAAGAATGTTCGGAATACAAAAACTGTTACGAAAAGGAGCATTCTCGAAAAGCGCGAAAAAGAGGGGGACAGAAGATGGCCTTGTAACGCCCTGAAGGTGCCAAATCCTAGCATGAGTCATGGACTGTGAGGTATCACTCGAAGCCGCCTTCTGTTTTTCACCCATCTCTCAGCGCGAAGTATGAAGTCAGTCACGAGAGAAAACGAATAGTATAAACAAAAAGGAAAGAAAGAAGCATGAGCTTCATTTGCACTCAATAAAGAATTAGAAAATTTAAAAGCCTAACCGTTTTATCCGCAGGTGACAAAGCATCCAAATCCGACGGGATTATAATCAGCAATGCACCGACAGTTGTCTCCAACAAGACATCGAGGTGCCGGCTGGTCAAATCACGCCACGATGTCACGACGCATCTGAAGTGCATTTTAAGAGACCATAAAGGAGGCCTTTACTATAGAAGGACTTTACTTACTTTCTTAGCGCTTTTGAATTCAATGACACCGCTTCATACTGCACTCGAAAATGTTTACTTCCTATGACATTGCCGTTGAGTTCATATTGTTGAAGTCGAAACGCTTGGAATTCCAGTTCAACTTTGTCGCCCAGTTGCTGACTTCCACTCACCTGCAATAATCAACACAATCCGGCCAACGAAGCAGCAATAGAAAATAGGAGGGTATGACTAACACATAGAGAAACACCAATGATATTTCTAAGGGGTTGCTTTAGAGGGGGCCAAAAAATAAACGGAAACCAAACAGCTGTGAAATTTAGCACGAAACATGTAATAAACTGCCAACAAAATACCTATGAATCTGTAATAATCTGCAATAGACTGGTTTTTTGAACCCTAAAACCTTACCCTCCCTGAAAGCAGTTCTGAAAAGAAATGCCAAGGTTTCACAAGAATACTAGAGGTGCTGGAGTCATGAATGGGACGTGTTCGCAGCACCGGATCCCTTTTTTCATGGTTAAAACTGCATACTCTCTGATTAATTAGGAAACCGCAAGCTTGAGAGATACAATACCTTACAAATGAAATGTACGAAGAGTAAACATAAACAAAATTACTCACCACACAGAATGACAATAAAACCGACACATAGACTATGAAGAATGGATTGCGAATAGCTTCTAGCAGCTCTTCCATGACTTTTACCTGCAATAGCCGCCTTAACAGAAGTAATGCACAGACGAACGGTGATCATGAGGCATAGGAACTTCCGGAAATTAACTCAAACGGCTATAACTCTACTCTACCATTACTCAATATGGAAGAAACACCTTTTCCCGAAAATATTCCTTAAAATTAAGAGCAACTCTGCTGCTCCGAGGGAATAACCTTTGGCCTGGCTCGGCGCCAAGGTTCATCTTTTCGGGACCAACCACAGCGAGGAGAACGCGGCAAATCGACGTGGTTCGAATTGACTCGACCGTTGCCGCTCGCCGTTTTGCCTCTGCTGTCAATCTTGTTGCTAGTTGTGGTTTCCTTACTTTTTATTTCTCAGTCTACAGTACATCACATATGGGTTGATTATGTTCCCCCTCCCTTATCGGTTTGAGGCTGTGCGGGGATGTCCTTCTCATGTGTACAGCGAACAAATTGCCCTGAGGGAGTTTTGCATGGATCATCGTCGAGTTCCATTCCTAGGTGTTCATGCTTTTTGACGTAATGGCTTTTTGACTACTGGGTCCTAATGTCGACTTTGGAATTTGTTTAGCATACTAAATTTCAAATTTTTCGATATTAGTAGTCTAATTACTGAGCTGAAAGGTAAATTATTCGAAGGTCCAGACTTTTCTATGGCTCTTCCGTTCTTTCGAACACTGCACGTCCCTGAAGGTTCGCAGTTTCGCTGATTAGGTGGTTCAGATGATACATGGAGTAGTAGTGGTTTACTAACCAAAACTGCAATGCTGGAAAAGATGTTATGTCTGAAATACGAAAATCGTTGTATTTCGCTTGAGGTGACGGCCTGAAGGACGCAGTTACACAACCATATTTGAAAAAAATACTCTGAAATTTAGTTGTTAGCAAATTCAACTCACTACTGTTATTCTCCTGCAAGGCATTCCGAACAACCGAATTAAAACGTGACTCATTGCCGAACTTTTTATTGTTTATACTCCGTCTAGCCTCATTTACTGTAAGATTTCATTATTTTTAGCCATGGTGGAGGGCAGCGATGGTAGTATGGAGGAGAAAGTCATAAATGAAGAATATAAAATATGGAAGAAAAATACGCCATTTCTCTACGACATGGTAATGACTCATGCCTTAGAATGGCCCAGTCTCACAGTACAATGGTTACCCGATATACAAAAGGTAATTGTCGTTTTGATTTGAACGTTGAACGTTTTGATTCGTGTTGAACAATTTTTTGTCAAAATCATTTGGAAAATTGTTGCCTGCTAATTTACGTATTAAGGCTGAAAATGGTGATTACACTACTCAACGCCTCATTCTTGGTACACATACCTCAGATGAACAAAATCATCTTTTAATTAGCAAAATCCAATTGCCTACTGATGATGCACAATTTGATGCGTCGCGGTACGACACTGAAAAAGGAGGTAGGTTAGGCTGTAGTGAATTTGTTGCATTTTGGAGATTTCCTTGTCACCGGAAATGCCTGTAACAATTCTTAACGTTGCCTTGCAGAGTTCGGAGGGTTCGGTGCCATCACTGGAAAGGTTGAAACGGAAATAAAAATCAATCACGACGGAGAAGTGAACCGTGCTCGTTACATGCCACAGAATCCTGTTATAATCGCCACCAAGTCTCCTAAGGCTGAGGTATGTTCCTTAAAAAGTTCGTGAAAAAACAGTTTCAGTCCTTGGTAAGGAGATGAAGACTAGCTGTGACTTTGGCAGAGCACCAAATGAAAATGGTCCTGAGCGGGAACTTTTAAGTGTAGGGTCTACTGAATATGTCACCCATTTGGGATTCGACTTAAGAACAAACCATTTGGCTTCGGGGCCAAAATTTTCAAGGCACTCAGGCATCCCTGAACTTCCATCATAATATGCTATCATCGGTATTGGTTTAAGCCCTGTTCGATGCCAAGCGTATCGCCCGATGTGGTCGGCTTAGTCGCACGTCGAGTTGTGCCAAAATTAGTCAGCCAAAACAGTTCTCATTGATATTCGAGAATTATCGGCAAGCATTTTGAGCTACTCATTGCAGGTGTTCGTTTTCGATTACACGAAACACTCCTCTGTTCCTAAAGATAATCAGTGTAAACCCCAACTGCGACTACGAGGACATACGAAAGAAGGATATGGGCTTTCGTGGAATCCGAACAAACAAGGACATATTTTATCTGCTTCCGATGACATGACCGTAAGTATATATCGTTTCAAGTTTCAGTCTGTTTTGCTTGCTTCTCAGTGGATTTGTTAGCCACTGATCCTTCAGTGTTACTTTTCTGTTTTAACCTTCTTTTTTGTGTGGTCATAATGAATTGAAATCGTGATATTTTCAAACTCTTCTTGAACTTTATTCTCGTTTAGGTGTGCCTATGGGATGTTCAAGCAAATGAGATAAGCGCTGGGTATCTGGATGCGAAAAATATTTTTAAAGGACACACGCAAGTATGTATCTAAAATGGCTAATTGCGAGCATTGCTGATTAATATACTTTTACTCAATCTCTTACTTGAAGGTGGTCGAAGACGTCGCGTGGCACGTTTTGCATGAAGCAGTGTTCGGTTCTGTTGGTGACGATCACAAACTCATGATTTGGGATATTCGAGGTAACCAACCAGCACATACGGTCGAGGCACATTCTGCCGAAGTCAACTGTCTGTCGTTCAACCCCTACTCGGAATTCATCCTTGCAACTGGAAGCGCTGATAAGGTACATTTTCTTACTGCATGTACTATTACGTGCTTAAACGTAGTGATAGGTTTATCATTTTTCCATGCAGTATTTTTCCGCTCCTACTTTTAATTGTAGACGGTGGCGCTCTGGGACCTTCGAAATATGAAACTAAAGTTGCATTCATTCGAGTCACACAAGGACGAAATCTTCCAAGTGCAATGGAGTCCGCATAACGAGACCATTTTGGCTAGCAGTGGAACTGATAGGTCTGTTTGTAAAGAACTTTGGTTCAAAAGTTACAGTGAGTTAAGAATAAGCGTTAAGGAGGCTCCATGTATGGGACTTGTCTAAGATCGGAGAGGAACAAAATCCTGAGGATGCTGAGGTAAGAGGCTACCATTGATCCCGGAGATTTCGATGGTGGAATCATTATGAACTGAACATATATTTTCAGGATGGACCGCCGGAATTGTTGTTTATTCATGGAGGTCATACTGCAAAGATCAGCGACTTTTCCTGGAATCCTAATGAGCCTTGGGTTGTGTGTAGTGTCTCGGAGGATAATATTATGCAGGTAGGCTATCCATGGTTCTAATCAATACACGCTGAAGCAGTTCATGAATGTAAGAGTCATTTTTCACTTTTATCCAGCACTGTCAGGCAGCAACTTTTGGTGGCGATAGACTTTCAATAGGTTTCGTAAACGGTAAAGAAGTGTAATTGCTAAAAACTTGCATTTTAATATTTTAGAAGTGGAAATCGCTGATGATTCCGAAATTGGAGTAGTTCTGTGTTGATTTATTTGTGTTCTGAGAACATCTTCATCAGAAGAGTGAGCAAATTGCTAGATATGAGGCTAACAAATGTGACTTAAACTGGATTAAAGTGCTGAGAAAATTCCTTTCCTTCAAACTGCTTGTGGCTTTAGGTATGGCAAATGGCTGACAACATCTACAACGAGGGAGAGGAGGAAACCCCTGCCGACCAATTGGAACGATAACTTCTTGCATGTCTTACAACTGCCTATATTTGTTGAATTCCGGTCTCTTTTTTTTNTTTTTTTTGTTATTTTTGAAACCTTAGTACGGTAACCTTTGGTATACGGTCTGCTTCTCCTGCATCTCATTTTCTGAAATTTCTTTCTTTTGCAGAAAATTTTGATGGTTTCCTGTACTTTCATTGATTGATGAATTGCGTAACTTAAATATTGTAGCATAAATGTTTCAACATCGCAAAGCGTTGCTGTAATTGTTCGAAATAGGTTGACGAACACTTATCCATATTTGCAGCTTTGAAACTGTACAGGAAATCCAGCGGTCCCTATAAAGAGCACTTGACCCTCCCTTAAACACATTGCTCCCTGAGGTATTTCGTAATTACTCAAATCTCCGAATCGTTCTGCGATCGTTGCAAACGGGTCTTTTGGTCTCCAGGAGCAATGAGAATTCCAGCTCATTTGGGTGGAAGTGTCTTCATCAACAATGGAATGTATTGGTTTTTTTGGGGTGACAATGGAAATCCTTTCTGAGAGCATAGGCTATAAGAAAAGTGGGAGTGGAAGCCAAAGTAGCACCTCTATATACTAAAGATTGATGCTATTATTTTTGTCCAATTTAGATGTTAGGGCGTATATGTTCGCCGTGCTGCTCAAGCACGGTGTCCCGAGCAATTCGCAGGTGCTCCGTACCTGCTGAAAAAACTTTGGAGGCTGTCACCATGAATGTTGAGAAAGACCAACCCCGGCTTGATATTTCCGGGCAAGTTTCTGGGTTATAATCCTTAGATAGAAGGGGTACTGTTCAGACTTTTACTGTTGCAGCCTTAAGCCTCGTCATCGTGTAATTGCTGCTGGTGGAATGCCGCCTCTCGAATTCGAATGGGAACGAAAGAGAACTGCTCAGCGAGAACGCTTCGGCACGTATGGCTTGAAAAGTGGAGTTGATCCGGCGATATGTTGGCCTACTGTAGAGGTATCTAAATACAATACAATCAGGACAATTAGATGCCTCACTCTAAGTCCGTTATTCAGGAAATTGAAGAAGAACAAGCAGTAGGCCTCTATCGTGAGTATGATTTGTGTGTTCGAGAAATGAACGCACTGAAGCAAAAAAAGGAGGCCAAGGAGGCGGCAAGAATAGCAGAATTAGAGAAGAATCTCCAAAAGTACCCAGAAATGCTTGCCAAGTACGAGGCGTCGCAGGTTAAGGCTGAGAAGGAACGCGATGAAAAGGAAATAGCATTGGAGAACCGAATACGGTACGCGGAACTTCTCTTCAACGGGCAAATGCTGTGATTTTATGCGTTTGATTTCTAGTTTTTCCAAATGCACTCCGCTTACAGGAGACCACATAATTTTCGATAGACTGCAGCTTACAATAGTAATCTCGGAATATATCGCTACTAAAGTTTTCCTTCATTTTCAATCGGTTTTGGCCTGTGCTAATGTCTGCTGGTTCCTTTCAAGAAAGCACAGCGCGCATAGCGGAGCCCTAAGCTCAAATGGATCCCTATCGAGCATGTATTCATGTTCACAGCATTTCTTAATTCTACAAAATCCCTTTCGAGAGTTGAATTTCGTTATTTTCGATCAAATTATGTTCTCTCTATCTTTCTTTGCGTTATAAGCATCATAGTCGGTTAGTAAGTGTAATAGAGCGACTATTCAAAAACTCATCCTTTGCGCTCTTCCTTTTCTGTTTATTCAACGACTTCTTTCCAAATACGACCAACGATTTGTATTGTAGAGAAATACAAGAATATTTTGGTTACTGGATGGATCCGAAAGACCCGCGATTCGAGGTAATGCTCCAACAAAAGGAACAGGAGGAGAAAAAGGTGCAGTTCCTCAATTCTATGAACTGTTTTATATTTTATATGTTGATCAAATGTAGAAAAGAGCGTTCTTGTCTAAAGAGTACTCTTGTCTATCTACGTTTTGGTAGAAATTCAAGATCGTTGGTATCTCCCTGATGAGATAATTCGCTTCATCACTCAATAATTTGTTGACTCGTTCAACTTCTTCCATGTATTTCAGGCAGCAAAGCTGGCGAAAAAAGCAGAGCAGCAGAAAAAGAGGATTGCAGATGTAGTTTAGCACGATTGTTTGTTAGTAGCTTATAATTGTTGTATTTTTGTTTGGAGAATTCTGGTAAACCACTTTTCAAAGTGTTTTCTGCTCATAACTTTAAATAAAATTTATTTTTGTGAACTAGTCCATTGTTCTCCGCCAGGGGTCACGAGTTCCTAAAATATCTACAGTCTTTTTTTCTAGGCCTTCAACCTTGATTTGTTCGAAAGCGTGTGTTAGAGACCTTTTTTCAGACCATGACAGATGTAGTGATGAGTCAGTCAGAACCGACGGCTGTTCCATGCTCCACTAAAAAACTTGCTGTACCGTCAATTGAGTGCAGCCTGCATCCATTGGTCATAATAAACCTTTCCGAACATTGGACGCGAATGCGGGCACAAAGTCGGGACAAGACTGCTCAAAAGGTACCAAAGCAATAACTCGACTGGTTGCTTTCTTGTCGTCAACCATTCTAGTCACATAGAAATAATGAAAACGATTTTCCCGCGGTGTCCTTTTCACAGTGCTTAGGCCTTGTGAGCGCTCACCTTACTTCTCGTACAAAGATTCCCGACAGCAATGCTGCTCGCATCAATCCCGGTAGAAATGCCTGCTTAGCTAGTTTCTCCCGCTTCACCTCTGTGAAGAGAGTGTAAGAACTGTGTGAGTGCCTGGATATTCCACCTTGTCAGATTTCTTACGCCTCGTTGTGAAGTGGGTTGCAGAAACTGCTTTTTCTTCTCTCCCATATAAGACGGCGCATGACGAAAAAGGAGTGCAGAGTTGCCCAATCCTCCCATTTTAGCTATGCATATTCGAGATAATGCCGCGCGTCTCATCTGCCCAGGTAAGTGCAGGGTACTACTGCTGAGAAGATATGGATTTGTCTTTTCCCTTACACCCTTTGAGCGGCTCGCATATAACAACTCGATGAACTGAAATGGTTTCAATGGGTGCACAGCATGGGATAGAGAGGGATGTGTCCGTAGTGAATTCTGTCTTAGACGACACTTTTGAAAGAAGCATAGATAGCAGAATGAGTATGGTGAGATGAACTTACTGCCTAACAGAAGTGAATCGGTTGAGAAATGAGACAGACATTTCTAGTGGGCTAATGTTCTGTATATCTGTTTTTTTTTTTTTTTTTTTGATAAGTTTTGTATATTGAAAGCAAGGAGGGCCCTGATAATGTATTCGTGAAAAACGCAGTGCCCATAGTTCGAAACCTTGCAGGGTTCATTGTAGGAAATGTTTTCCCACTAACAATAAGATCAATCAATAACCTAGCAGTCTCCCTCTATCAGCCCCCATTCATTCCTAGGAGTTGATTAGTCTGTCTCGTTTTTGAGATCAAGTCCTGACTAAAACGAATCGGTTAGAAAGGTAGTTCTTGTGGATGCCTTTAGAAGTGAATAGTGTTTAAATCATCACGATCTAGGTGTACGGAGCTATACTGGGTAAAGTCGATGAAGGTCATGTTGAAATGGTCAATTCGTTCGAGTTGCGAATGTTCACATTAGATGGTCACGTAAGATTTAACGAAGAATTCTTACGCCAAAGGCTTAGCCAATACAAAGAGGTCAGTTTTCTCTGTTCTGAATATGCAAATTTTCTTTCAGGTTTTTTGGCATTACATTCGAAGTGAATTGACTAGAAAGTTCTTCGTCATTTTTTACGGGCGGTTTTTCACATCGCCAAAATGTGACTTGATTATTTATATAAACACCAAAGATAACCAACGAGTACCAATAATCTCCGATTGGCTATGATTTGATCCCTCTTCTGCACAATTATGTACTGCGTATGGAACAAACTGGCGTTGTACGCATCGTTTTCATGTAGGACCGGTTGCAGTTGAACAGATGGAATTTCTACTACTCTTAGACTAATGGCAGACTTTTTTGCGATATTACGAGAAATATGTCGAGACAAATGTTGTACAGTATCCTGAAGTAAGGCATCCGTATTACTTTAAAGTCTTAGTATTTTGCAAGGCATGGATTTTGGTGCAAACTAGTTGTTCATAGAGTGCCCTATTGAGCAGATAAATATAAATATATGGCTAGACTGTTTACCAATATCTCGTGCTCGTGCTCATTTTGAAATGTGGGTGTTCCTGGTGCGATTATCCCATGTCTCAGTGTCTGCGTTTCTACCCACATGTTCTCACCTGTTGCAGGTTTTCCCTGAACTGGAAGCTGTCGGTTGGTATTGCACTGGTCAAGATGAACTAGAGCAAGATGAGATCCTGTTGCAATCCCTGTTTGCAGTGGCGATTGACTCTCCATTGCTTGTGAAACTGAATCCAACCATAGATTCTCAAGCGAAGCGGTGGGTATCAATTTTATAATGGGCTGTGGTCTATTGTCCGTACAATTTACTTTAGGAAAGTCCCGGTGAAAGTGTATTATAGTCGGGAGACTCCACTTGTCTCATCAGGACATGAGCTTGTTGAAGTTGATTGGACGCTGATTTCTGAACAAAGCGAGCGGATTGGGATCGATCACATTGCTCGACTGTCACAGGTGAGTGAAATCTGGCTGCTTTTGGGAAAGCACTCATTGCTCCGTGATTACGGCATGTAACCCTGTTTCTTTTCCCATAATTAGACTTCTTTCTGTATTTCTGTTTCGTACTCAAATTCATTAGGGTCCTTTTTTCTTTCATCGAATTTCAAATGATGGGAAGTAATGCAGTTGGAGATGCTCGTTAATTTTAGGCAGGCGACGATGGAGCAGTCTCGATAGAGGGCAAGCAAATGAGAGCAGCAAGCTCTGCCGTAGGAATGTTATTGGATAGAATAGAAATTATTTGTAACTACCTCAAAGGAGTGGAAGAAGGCAGGTTTCCTCCAAATGAGGAGATTATTAGAGAGGCAAATAAGGTAGGTGACAATATGTTGATCTCGTAGTAATCCAGCGTTTCATCTGCCTACATAGTTTGTTCAATCGATGTTATTGTTTATGGGTTCCGGTTTGAGATCTGTCAACGTCTCCCACTTTTGAAGCCGGCTGATTTCGACGAAGGGTTCAAAGCACAAGAGAGAGATGCACGTGCGGCAATGTTGCTAGCCCGAATGACTGAAATATGCGGCACTCTGAGTAGTCTCCAAGTATGCCCTCTTCTACCTATCAATTATGAAATTTCGTATTTTTCTTGCGTGCTCCGAAATTCTCAATTTTTGACCGCACATTAGAAGCAGTTGCTTATTCAGTAGTAATAGCATTGGGACGAATAATAATCAGTTACAATAGTGTATGGCCAAGAGTAATAGCGTGCCATCCCCTGTCCGATTGGAATCTGCTGAAATCCGGCTGAGTCTGCTTGCGGTCATCATTTGGTAGCTGCTAAATTACCGGTAGTCCCATTTGGTATCAATACGGTGCAGCCTAGGATAACATCACGTTTGGTATTACAGAACCGATTTTGGGTTTTTAGTTTTGCTATCGTGCTGTTCTCCTAACAGCTCTCCTTCTCAGTCATATTATATTAGAACTCTGTTTCCACGTCATCCCAGCATTCCACGCTACACTGATACCGCATGAGCAAATTAATTTCTAGTCCAATTAGCGGCTAATTCCTTTTATTCTCCTCACAGTCTTAGCTTGCGGGCGGCCAACTTTATCGGCAGGCTGACGGAACGTGTAAGTGACTCCTAACAGAAGGGGGCATAAATTTGTGCGTAATTCTCCTCCAAAGTGTGGATTGAAGTTTTTCAATGAACTTTCAGTCTCTCATGAGAGATATTTACAGGGGAAGTGTTTTGTTTTTATGTCCAATCGGGCATAACTGTTGTCAATCATTAAATCGGGCGTAACTGTTCCAGCATGCCTCGCTTGAGTGAGCATTATTCAAAATATCTTTACAGACAAAGACGAACATACTCGGTTCAATCACTGCCTGGCGTAGTATCGCTACCGTTCCGTCGCAACAGTTAAAAAAGAAGTCCCAACGAGCGACCGCCTCAGCCACTCCTGCTGCGCCGATAGCTGCAGATGTTGGAACAAACCATGTGATGAATCATTCCCCAGACGTCGATTAAATCATAGCCTTGAGGTAAGCTTGCACTATTTTTAAGCATACTTCTTATGTGTTGACTTGCTTAATGTTTACCAGTTGGGCTACGCACGCTAATGCGCGCACCACATGCCCACTACCGCTCACCTAAGACTTGTTAAAGGACCAGTATAGGTTCACTTCCCATTTGATAACTGTTTCCATCACCGTGCTCACTTGACATTCGCACTCTTCGACGTGCTTACGTGATGAAGGACACACAAACGGGCATACAAACAGACATACAAAATTACCGTTCTATAGATAGAGACAGTCGGACCGCTAGGCTAACGCCGGGCTTCCCTCCTTCTTATGATAGAGTTGTGATAAACAGCAGACAGCACACTCCTTTGCTAAAGCACTGAATGATGCTTTTTGGAACATGAAGCTCGATAGAGGAACAATAGGGCATGCAAACGATATTCCAAATGTGCCGATGGCTACGCCTTTGATTAGAATTTGTCTGTCTTGATCTGTCGCTATGATGTTAAAAATAATGACCCATTAAAGATTAAACTGGTAGGCATTTAAAGCCTTGAATGGTACTCACAAATGTTGTCGAGTCATAATAATACCATTATCAAATGTCTTTATGAATGTAGCTCCTTTTCTCTACATCATTAAATGTGAATCCAAGATTATTAGCGGTCGAATAAATTCTGCCATGAATGATATCGAAGCAGAGAGAAACCGATGAACTGACCCTTCAGTGAATCGCAAACTTCGCTAGGGAGCGGTCGTAAGCAAGAAGTGAGCCAAACTTCATAATCTGTCCCTATCAGTGCACTTACCCTTCCTGTCGAATGAAACATATCAAACGATCAAAGCTAGCTCGTAAATAACAAAGGCGCTAGGATTCAACTGGTGATTGAATCTTGTTCTCTATGGCCTCCTCTAATCTTACTGATTTTGCCTTCCAAGTCCACGGGATCGGGAGTTATGGATTTTCGCTCAGACATTTATTTCGCACAAACTCCTCC